TCTCTGAAAACATCCACTCAATGTCCAGCGGCAGTCAAAAAAGTGAACAGAATATTGGGAATCATTAAGAAAGGGATGGATAATAAGACAGAAAATATATTGCCTCTGTATAAATCCATGGTACGCCCACATCTTGAATACTGCATGCAGATGTGGTCGTCCCATCTCAAAAAAGATATATTGGAATTGGAAAAGGTTCAGAAAAAGGGCAACAAAATTTATTAGGGGTATGGAACGGCTTTCATTTGAGGAGAGATTAATAAGACTGGGAACTTTTCAGCTTAGAAAAGAGATGACTAAAGTGGGGATATGATAGAGGTCTATAAAATCATGACTAGTGTGGAGAAAGTAAATAAGAAAGTGTTATTTACTCCTCATAACACAAGAACTAGGGGTCCCCATATGAAATTAATGGGCAGCAGATTTAAAACAAACAAAAGGAAGTATTTTTTCACATAATGCACAGTCAACCTGTGGAACTCCTTGCCAGAGGATGTTGTGAAGGCCAAGACTATAACAGGGATCAAAAAAGATCTAGATAAATTCATGGAGAATAGGTCCATCAATCAGTATTAGCCAGGATGGTGTTCCTAGCCTCTGTTTGCCAGAAACTGGGAAAGGTCAACAGGGGATGGATCACTTGATGATTATCTGTTCTGTTCATTCCCTCTGGGGCACCTGGCTTTGGTCACTGTCAGAAGACATGATACGGGGCTAGATGGATCTTTGGTCTGACCCAGTATGGCCGTTCTTACAAACAAAACCAATTATTTATATCAATCATTAGTAAGACTATGTTTTAGTCACAGGTATTTTTAATAAAAGGGTATTTTTAATGACAGGTCACTGGCAGTAAACAAAAATTCATAGTCTGTAACCAGTCCATGACTTGTACTATATACCCCTGACTAAAACTTGGGTGGCCTGGAGACCCCGCGGGTGCTCTGGGGCAGGGGGTGGCCCAGGGGCGCTGCGGGTGCTCTGGGGGGGAATGGCCCAGGACTCCAGCTTGTGCTAGGGGAGGTGTGTGGCCCGGGACCCCCACTGGTGCTGGGGGGCAGCCCACGGCCTGGGAACCCCACTGGTGCTGGGAAGCAGGGGGAGGGCTGGCAGGCTCCCTACCCAGCTCTGCGCAGCTCCCAGAAGCGGCAGGCATGTCCCTGCAGCCCCTAGGTAGAGGGGCAGCCAGGGGGCTCTATACGCTGCCCCCGCCCTGAGCGCCCGCTCCGCAGCTCCCGTTGGCCAGGAACCGCGGCCAATGGGAGCTGTGGGAGTATTGCCAGCAGGCGGAGACAGCACACAGAGCCGCTTGGCCATGCCTTCGCCTAGGAGCCGAGGGAGGGACATGTTGCCACTTCCGGGGAGCCCCCTCCCCCCGAAGTAAGCACCACCCAGAGCCCTTACCTCCCCCCCCCCCCCGCCACACCAACTCCCTGCCTCAGCCCCGAGCCCCCTCCCACTTCCAAACTCCTGCTGCTGCTGTGTGAGAGAGGCACGGTGGCCCGAGACTGCCCCAGCAGCGGTTGGCAGCCCCCAGGCCAGCCACACCAGCCACTGCAGAAGTCATGGAGGTCCCAAAAAGTCACAGAATACGTGACTTCTGTGCCCTCCATGCCAGACTCGCAGCTTTAATCATTATACATTCAGGGGGCTACGTTTGACTTTGTCAGGAGTAGCACAGAATTTTATGCATTTGTTCTTCCACTGAACACTGTACTACACTTGTCCCTTTTGGTTTATTGAGCCAGTGCTTGAAAATATCTATTGCATAAAAAGAAGAGGGAGCCAGAGGTCTGAGAGCAACTGTTGCTAGCTTGTTTCCTTGTAGCATATGTTTATATGTATGTATGTGTGTATTTGATGGGTGCATTCTTGGTTTCAGGAACTATCACGTCATTATCTTCAGAAAAAATCCCTCATAAACAATAGGAGCCATGATAGACTGCAGGTTCTTCCACAGTGATGGGCCAAAGCCACCATGTCAGGATCTGGATTCTGACCACATCAAAATTCAGGCAGAGGTGTTCGGTGCTGAGATTTTGTTTTAGCCCATTGTAGAGATTGGGATCATTTGCAAAGTTTAGCTCTGGATTCAGCTGTGGGTTTCAGTGCACAGAGTTTGGGTTATTTGGATATGGGGGTTTGGTTCAGGCTCATCTCCGTAATTCAGTAATCACTTAGATTACTCTATCAACACTAGAGAATTCTGGCATTTCAGCCCCATCACTCCTGATACTTCCAGTTACTGTAGCAGCATTCCAGAAAGGACACTGCCCTCATCTTGTCTCTCTCCACGCGCCAGAGATTTTTGTCCTTGCTGTTTCAATGTGTTTTGTTTTGAGAAAGTACAAATGGGCCATATGCTGCTTCCCTGGAAGCTTTTTCAACCAGGCCTTAGACTGTCACATATGTTTGTCTTTCTAGGAAAATTATACTGTACTAGGTAATATATTTGCTGGTGATGGATAGTCAAAGTATTCCACGTAAGGCGAGCAAAATGGGTCAGTTTACATTACTCGCTTTCCTTTGGGTTATTAAGCCTTGTTCGTTACACAGCCTGCCATCTGAGCTGTGCCCCATGACCAACACGGCTACCACTCTGAAACGCTGAAAGGGATGAATCATGGCGATCTGGACTTCTGCCGATTGGCTAACATGGTGGCATCGCTCTATGGAATGACGCTTTCAGGTGTGAGACTTCTTGGAGCGACAAAGGCAAAGGGCAGCCCCGGATACCTGAGTTACAGGATACTCTACAAATAGGCTGATGAGGCAGGTCTAGTCCTCAGCCGGCCTCATGCTACTTGCCCATAGTGGAGTGATCGGCTTCTGCTAGTGGAACTCAGTGTGTTCATGCTGCTTCTCTCCTCCCTTCTTTGCAGGTGCTTCTATGCAGTGTCAAGGCAGAAAGCGATTGAGATGTTAGAGAAGAATCCTTCTTGGGGAAACTTGATCCTGCGGCCTGGTAGTGACAGTAAGAACTACTCAGTCACTATCAGACAGGTGATAGAGTAGGTTGAATCCACAAGTTATTATCTAACTGCTAATTGACATGTACTGTGTTATGATGCCTAATTTAGAATTCCCAGGGATCGCTTGTGAAATCTGTCCCATATTGTGAGAATAATCGGGAGAAGGTAAATCAGGCATTGAGCATGGGCTCAAGAGACAGTGTGATTGGCTTACGGAGGAGGAGAGGATTGACATGTCCACAAATGAGATACAAATCAGCCAAAGAGTGCTGGCCTGATGAGGCGGGGGCATGAGCCTGGTCCTTGAAATGTCTTATCCTACGTCATGGAATCTTAGACTTTCAAACCCCAGAGTAAGCACCAAAAAAACACGTGCACACGCTGAAGCCATATCTAACACTAGAACAAATGGTCAGAGTTAAGGCTAATAAAATTGAACTCGGCATCAAACCACACAAAACTGGTTACATTTCAACGTTTGGAGAGCTTCAAAACCAGAGGCAGCTGAGACCCAAAACAAAGTTCTGGGGCTGTAGGTAGCAAACACACTTCTGCTCTCCTCTTCCTGGCCTCACTCACCTCAGGGACTAACCTTTTCTGCCTCCTTCCCTAGGGGGACCAGACTTTCAGCCAGGACCCCAACATAGACAGGAGTACCCAGGAAGGTTTGGGTTGGTGACATGGGCACTGGAGACTGGGGGGGGGGGAAGGCAAATGGCCATTGCTAACCATTTTTTAAAGGGGGGGGGAAACCATGTGCCTCCATGTTTGAGAACCTGAACTCGGAACAATAGAGACAGGGGGCCCAACCCCCCCCCACTTTTGTCCCCTGTCTGAAGCTGAGTGACAATGACAGAGCCCTTCCCCACTGGAATGACGGAGGGGCAGGTAGGCCAAATTCGAGTGAGGGGTGTTGTGACCTGGTGCATGGGGTTACACCATCACTCAAATTTGGCCCATTTGGTTCCTTCCTCCCACACACACACTTTTGCAGTCCTTGTGGTGCCAGTGGTTGGAGACCGGGATGGTCCATGACACAGAGGGTTTTGGCTGCTGGACGCACAGAAGGGTCCCCTCTGCCCCGGTCTAGGGAATTCCTGTGCTGTTTTGAAACACGATGTAGACCATTTCTATAACTGTCTGAGTCTGAAATCTAAAGTCATTAAAGTTTCTGGCATTCTTTCTATGAGATTTTCACCTAGAAACCAGAAAACAATTCCAAGAGACCCCACACCCCGAGGCCCTGCTGCTGTTTCTAGCGTCCTCGAGCAGAACCTCAGAAGACAAAACTTGCTATTCCTGGTATTTCTAAAGTAAAACAGAGACCTAAAAAATACCTTTCCAGCTTCTGCTTGATACATCACAAAGCAGCAAAAAGGCAAACAAACCATTTTTTCCCCCTTAGCTGGTCACCTTTAAACGAACTGTTTCAAAAAGAGATTAATAACATTAGTGTATTGAAACTTTCCACCAAATGAACAGCTTAAATAAAAGACAGGAAACCTGCAGCCATCACCATTCATTTTCATTTATACTGTATTTTATGAACAGCAATGTATTAATACTGTATTTTCTTTTTGTTTCAGTGGTCCAAGCATAAAGCACTACAGAGTGGTGAACATGGGCAAAGGTTACACCATTGAACTGGCAAGACCAGTAAGTGGGTGTTTCCTTGTTGGAGATATCAAACCATGTCTTGGGTCTGTGTTAGAAAGTGGGAAAGAATATGGAAAAGTAGAACAAAAAAAAGCAGGGATTTGTCTGGTTCATAGATTCTAAGGCCAGAAGGGAAAATTGTGATCATCTAGTCTGATCTGTGTAGCACAGGCCAACAAACTTCCCCAAAATAATTCCTAGAGCAGATTTTTTAAAGAAACATCCCATCTTGATTTCAGAATAGTCAATGACGGAAAATCCACCACGATCCTTGGTAAATTTTTCCAATGGTTAATTACGCAGTTAAAAATTGATGCCTTATTTCCCCTCTGAATTTGTCTAGCTTTAATTTCCAGCCATTGGATCATGTTATACCTTTGAGAAGTTTATTCGATGTCTGTGACCAGCCTGGAAATTGAACTCGTATCTGAACTTGTCTACACGCAGAGTTGTACCAGTTTAACTAAAAGTGTGAATTAAAATCAATTTAGATAAAACAGTGCAAAATCTGGGTGGACTCTCTTATTTTGCTTTTAGCCAGGCTTGTTTCAGTTAAATCAATTAAGAACAGGTTTAAGCTAAACTGAAATTACCCTGGTTTATACAGAAATAAGTGTCCATACAGCTTTTTTTTTTTTTTTTTTTTAAACCAGTGTTGAAATTCACACCTTAAATTAAATCGGTGCAACGTTCTCCTGGGTGGCTCACACTTTTCTTCTATCTAGTTCTGAAATGCCTGGTCTTCCATCACAATTTAGAAATTGAAACTTGAGAAATCAGACTGCTTGCCCAATATTACCATGGCACTACAGGATGACTTTTAAGGTTTCATTTGGATTTGCAGGTTGGTTAGATCTCTGTGCCCATACTGGCCCTTGCCAAAGTAGGCAATTGTAACCTCTTTTGCCCTTGACTGGGTTCTGAAGGGTGTTACCACACCACACCCTCCAACTCAGTCTCCTGAAATCTACAAGAAGTTTCCTTTTCTCTGAGGCATCTGCCACTGAATAGCCCCAGATTAACTGGAATTGGATGTGGGGACTGTTAGCTCAAATAAAAATGTTATTGACCTAGTACAGAAAGGAGGAAAAGGACTAAACCAAAGATGGTTAAACAAGTACTAGTTCAGTGGGTTGCTATAAGTGCCCAGAGGTAGAGCCCAAATGTTACGTCAGAAATTGGTTTTAAAAAGCTGAATTAAAACAAAAGACCAAATGAGAGGCAATGTTGCCTAGTGGAGAAGGCATTGGACTAGGACTCAGGAGACCTGGGCTGTATTCCTGGCTCTGCTAGATCACTTTCTGCCTCCGTTTCCTCACCTGTAAAATGGAGATACTGAGCGTGATCTCCTATGTAAAAGCACTTTGAGATCAACTGATAAAAAGCACTGTGAAACACTAATGACAATTATTTTGAACACCAGACAAATAGTAAAGCCATGGAGCTTCACAAACCGGCAATGGTAGAGGTTGCAGCAGCTTCCAGGGATCACAGACAAGGGTGTCATAGGCGTGCAAACCTAGGGGGACTTGGCCATTAGAGGGGAAAAATCTGGAAAGGGAGCACATGTTGTACTTTGCATTGGACCCCCGAAAACATCAGGCCAGCTCTCCACTCCCCTGTTGTCCTGGAAGCATCTCTCAGGTATGAGCATCTCCTCCTGCTAGTCAAACATCTGCCTTTGATGATGATCCTAAAATGAAGCTGTGCCATGATGGGGGTGGTGGAATATCCTGCGGAGCCATTTTATTAAAACATTTCAGCTCATTTTCTCCCTCTCCCACAACAAGATTAAAATCCAAGGCCAAACCCAGGAGTTCACGCTCAACCCAGATTCCCACTGTAGGATCTGATAGCCTGTCTAGAAAAGCTTTGAGCTGAAGAGGGGCAGAACCTCAAGAGACAAGTATTTTTCTAGTGGTTTGTGTCATGTTTTACTTTGGGGACAAGGGAGGAACCCACGCTGTATTGTACTAGCACTTTGCCCGGCTGGAGCTGCACTTTGCACTGAGGGAGAGAAAGATCGCAGGAGGGGTTTCCGGGCAGCAAGCCTAAACTGCAGCCTTGTTCAAGGCCCAAGCCTGCGGTGCATCCCCCTCAGTGCCATGCATAAGCCCCCTCCTACAATGTGCCTAACACACAAGGCTGATTTTCAGCAAGTATTTTGTCCTTGTATTTGGGTGCTCCGGGAAGCTCCTGTTTTCACTGCACTTCTAGTAGGTGGCCCTTGAAACACAGTGCATTGGGGGTGAATCCAGTTTCAGCTACTTGACGATATCTTTAAGTACCTACCTGCTAACACATTTCTGACTGAAAATGTAGCTCACAGTAACTTTTCACACCCCTTTTTGTTACCTAGGTTATACGCCAGAGCCTTCATGATGTCATCGATTACTTTGTGAATCAAACACAAGGGAGCTTGAAGCCATTTGTCACACACACGTATGACAACAAACTGGGTATGCGGCTTGTTTCTACACGTAGGCACAGCTTCTGAATTCCAGCTCTTAAACTGCGTTAGTGCGAGGGGTCTATACTGGCAGTAACCAATCTGCAAGCAGGGCTGAAACGTGTGGGCATAAAACATGGATTGAATATTTTGAACAAAAACATCTCATGTTACAAACAGAGGAGTTAATTCTATCAGGTACATGAATCACTCTAATTACAAAGTAACTGAAATAAGCCACCTATTAATTCAGCAGAGCTGGGAGGGTCCGAGCTTGGGCTGCAGCCTGAGCCAGAAGTCTACACAGCAATGAAACAGGGCCACACCCGAGCCAACTGGCACCAGCTAGTCGCCTGTTTTTCTTTGCTGTGTAGACATACCCTTATTCTTAATAACTGGGGCTAGGTTCTTCAGGAAAGAGACTGCTCCCACACACAGGGGAACATTACATCTTCTGTCCTTTTTCTGCAGCCGGACTTTCTTTAGAGCATGTCCCAAGAGAGATGCACCCGGCGATTGCCCCTCAGCCCAGAGCCAAGCCTCCCCGGAGATCTATGCCTGAGAAAGTAGCAGCACCACTTCAGGAGTATCCTGTAACCAGATACGTGCCTGGTGAGGATAGGACAGCTTTGGGGGCCTTCTGTTTCTTTGGAAGTTAGGTTTGAAAACGGGAAAGTGATTTTTTTGGGGAGGGAAGTGTCACGTGCAGTGAGGGATACAGCAGCATTCGGAGCATCTCTCCTGATCTATCAGCCTGCACACCCCTATTATCAAAAGCAGCATCGCTTCTCGCTTCTCAGGATGTGGGGTAGATGCAAGCAGATATGGTCAATGAACAGAGGGAGGGATTAGAGATGGAAGACAGAGGTTTTTGCCTCCAGCTTATTGGTTCAACCCAGATGAGGACGGCAGTGACTGACACCTGTTCAGCGCCCCGTGTTAAATGAATTGGTGTGGTCTGTCCATTTCTGTGGAGCACGAGCCCGTTGATACTGACACTTGGCAGTCTCAGGAACGAGGCCAAGGACTGCATGGGCTATGGACACTGTCCTGCCCCACTCTCCCTACACGCGATCACATGAAAGTGGCACATGGAAACCGGGCTGCTGCCAGCGGGGCTAGGAAACTTGTCTTCAGCCCTGCCCATCACAGCTGCGATTCCTGTGCAAACCCCTGATTTAGGCAAAGCCATAATTTGCACTGCCACAAATGGCAGCTTGGAGTGGCTTTGCCTGGCTGGTCCCAGGCTCAGAGAGAAGGTAGATACGGTCCAGTAAAAGCTATTCCCTCACCACCTTTTGTCTCTTTACATATTCATATTTTTCAATCTTGCTTTTTCTTACAGCTCTCTAACATCTAGCCATTCATCAGTCCGTCTGTCCGAAACTCTCATCCAAGCTCTTCATTCACCTCTGGGACTTGCATCCTTGCTCTCTAAGTTCCATTCAGAATGCTGCTAAAACTCTCTTGGATTGTCCTCTGACCATGTTAATCCCCTCGGAGTCCCTCAGCTAGCTCCCTCCTTCACTGCCTCATAAGAGGCCCTTCTTACCTACTCCCACCCTCCCTAGCTGCTCTAGTAATCAATCATAATGTCAGCCCCTGGCCTTTGCTCCTTTTCTCCCCCATATTGCCCCTTGTACATGGGCAAAACTCTGAAAATCTGAACAGTTCCTAACCGCACGTCCTCTTCAAACCTCACGTTCGCCCTGATGCCTCCAAAAACCGCCATTCTGATCATGGCCAGGCAGGTGACAAGCTGTGACTCTTCCACTTCCCCAATTCTCTTCCTCTAACCCGTTTAAAAAACCACCTTGAATTGACAAACCTGTGTCACTTCACCAGATTTGCTTCCATGTTATACCGTCATCCTCTTTCTATCATTAGACTGAAGTTCTTCAGGGCCTGGAGCTCTGTTTGTACAGCACCTGGTACGTTAGGGCCCCAGTCACAATTGGGGCCTTTAGGTGCTTCAGTGTGAATATTTACTACTAGCCACCTCTGTTGGACACTTACCTTGCTTATGCTGCAGGACACGGACTTCAAATTTGCCCCCAATCTTAGACTTTTGTCAGAACAAACTTTATTAAAACCTAGAGCCAAGGGAAATGCTTCCCTGTATTAAAGTAATCCAGTTGATTCCTCTGCAGAGGGAGGAAGCCAGACCCATGCAGTGCTGAGAAAATGACTCAAGGATTTTCAGAGAAATTGAAAAAAAAATGGTGACAAGCAACAGAGTTTTAAAAACTGTTGCAATAATCGAAGCTGCTCTTACCGACCTAGGAAAAACACGTACAGTAGATAATGTGAAAGGGCCTCTGATCACGGTGGATAGAGTAGACAAAGCACAGGTCTGCTAGTGCTGGCTAGGGCAGCACTTGAGTTGGAAGTGCACTTCTCCCACCATACAATTTAACAGCTTGAATATTTAAATCATCTCCCTCCAGCTTCTCCTGTTGTCTTGAGTTAAGACAGAAGTCAGGGCTAGCCCAACACAGAAGGAATAGAGTGTTTATGGCAACTGTAGTATGGAAAATGAAACAAGCGTGTAGGTACGTGTACAGTGCCTATCCCAATGGAGGCTGTAGATTCTACCTACAATATAAATAAGCAGAGTGAGAGTTGAGAAGCCATGTTGCAATGACCGTGAAGAGTGCAAGCCCTGCTGGGAAGCTGCTGAAGTTGGAATGGCTCTGTCAGGACACTTCCGCTCTCTATGTTAACAAGTGTTTTTCCCATTCTTTCAGAAACTCTTGGCAAAGAGACGAAAGAAAGAAAGAAGAGACAAGCAGCTGACAGACAACGTGCAAATCAACCTCTTTGAAGTGGAGTATGTAGGAGGGACAGATGTTTTCTTAGGGAAAAAGTGTCACATTCTAGCCCTGGAAATCCCTGTGGGTTAAATTTAGTAGTACAGTCTCACCTTGTATCAACTAATCTCAGAAGCCCGTGGAATAAATTACAGCACATTAAACTGGATATCTGTTTCCTAAGGCTTCCAGTTGGTACAAAACAAAGTCCATCTCCATGGCTCTAAGCACATTTGTCTCAGCAACCTTATGAGACTTTTTGGGACACAGTAGAATGGTCCCACCCCCAGTCTGACAGCCTCTGTGCTGTTGAGGAGGATGAAAGTCTCAGGGAAGGAGAACATCCAACTGGAGCAGAGGAAAATGCTCCCATAGTTGGGACCCCCCTTCCAGATGATGATGTGGTATCCTCTCGCACGGAGGTTACCTCTCCGGGGGAGGGAACTCCAGTTATTAGGAAGAGACAGATAATAGTTATGGGGGATTCAATCATTAGAAACGTAGATAGCTGGGTTTGCGATGCCTGGGAGAACCACATGGTGACTTGCCTGCCTGGTGTGAAGGTTGTGGATCGCTCGAGTCATTGAGATAGACTTATGTGTAGTGCTGGGGAGGAGCCGGTACATGTGGTACATGTAGGTACCAATGACATAGGGAAGGATAGGAGAGAGAACCTGGAGGCCAAATTTAGGCAGCTAGGTAAGTCACTGGGGAGGGGGGGGGTCAACAAATGAAACGGGCAGATTTAAACAAACAAAAGGAAATATTTTTTCACACAATGCACGGTCAACCTGTGGAACTCCTTGCCGGAGGATGTTGTGAAGGCCAAGACTATAACAAGGTTCAAAAAAGAACTAGATAAGTTCATGGAGGATTGGTCCATCAATGGCTATTAGCCAGGATGGGCAGGGATGGTGTCCCTAGCCTCTGTTTGCCAGAAGCTGGGAATGAGCATCAGGGAATGGATCACTCGATGATTACCTGTTCTGTTCATTCCCTCTGAGACACCTGGCATTGGCCACTGTCGGAAGACAGACACTGGGCTAGATGGGCCTTTGGTCTGACCCAGTATGGCTGTATTTATGTTCTTATGTTCCTCAAAAGCAGGAAGGGGGGGGGACCCATTTCAGCCCTAGATCTTAATGAGTGCACCTTCCCTCCCCATACCCTGCGAAAAGAAATGATCTTCAGAGAGCCCCATAAAGTCTAAGGCTTGGGCTATTGTGGCCCAATAAAGAAGAAAATGAATGTTGACGTTCAGAGGCCCTCCCAAAGGATTTGCTTCCACCAGCACTTGTATTAATTGAGTAGATCCAGCTTGAGCAGTAAATAGCAACTGCAGCAGCACTGTATCGGGGGAGAAAAACAGTCCCTCACCTAGGAAGCTTCCAGTCCCTTTAGAGCTTTATAGTTCAGAGCTAAACACCACTCAGAAATCAACAGGTAATCAGTGAAGTTTCCCCACTGAAGTTGAAGTTAGTACACTCTGCACCAGCTTCGAAAGGATAATGTGCTGTAGAGCAAAATCTTGAGGTGATGGACCGTGCTTCTGTAGACAGTGCCTAACGCTGCAAGAAATGGTAACATCTGCCTAGCCAGATGTAGCTCAGAGGTCACTGCTGCTATGGGAGCATCTAATGGCAGCTCAGTAGTAGCCCTAGACTGCGAACTGAGTAAAAAGAAGCGGACGGATGCTCTCAATATGGCAGAAATAATCTTCATTTCTGGTAGGTGCTTTTCCCACCACTCTTCAGTCTTATTCAAATGGAGAAATAAGGGAGAGCACACTGCTTTCCCCACTGTACACTGTTGTATCCTTTTTGCTGAACAGTGATTTTTCCAAAGTATTAGAGAGCAACTTCATGTTTATAAAAAAAAGCATTTCAGATTCTTTCAGTACATTCAGAGGACCACCATTCTGCTGAAGTCATCTGTCTGAGCAGCATCACTTAGCAGAAGTTTGCAATACCCAAAATTGCCATTTGAACATTGCTGTGAATTGAAATAATTGGGGAATTTCTATTCTCCTTCACTACATGTGTGTCTTGTACTTTCCATGTGCAAATTGTGGCTTTGCTAAAGTGATTAGCAGTAGCATAGTTCATGTTGTCATTAGGGCTCATGCTTAACGTATCATTGATATGAATCAGTGCACACCTGGCAACTATGATGTACTGTAGACATCTCCATTTAAAAATATGTTCATTCGCTTTGTCAGTAGTTCAGGTTATTTTTAATGTGAAAAAAGATGAAGAGCAATTCTTAGTGGCAGGTCGGGCAACATATATCTCTGTCATATTAAGTTCTCTTTACATTTGTTAATAAAAACCTACTCATGTCAACCTCTGTTCAGACAAATCCAGAGAAATACATATCAAATGGAGAATGCGCAATGACCTAGCATATATACTACTCGAAATACATCGGTTCAGCTAGGCAGAAATCATCCACAGAACAGACATCCAAAGGGCACCCACTGTTTGTGAGACGTGGAGATGTATTTATGTTTTGCTAATTTTGGCCCCCAATTCCTGCCACCTGTATATTTAGAGTTCACAAAAGTGCACGAGTGTTTTCAAGTGCCAACACTGCATGTAACTACATACTGTCAGGCAATGAGAAGCTGTTAACAAAGGCCACTCAGCATGTTACATTTGAATATTGCCTGTTAACCCGGAAGAGACCATCAGATGTAAGTCAGGAAAGCACCCAGGCTAACAGACTTTTATAGACTCCTTTTCAAAGGTGTTCTGTGTGCTATTAACATCCACCTAACATACCCGACTCTGCTTTCATGTTGAGTAAATGAACAAAGAAGTTAGTTACTCAAATTACATTTTATTGTTTCCCAGCCCCTGACTTTTAGAGTTCACAGCGCTTTACGTTTGCCCCAAACATTGAAATAAAAAATAAAACCCAGATCACAGATTTCATTTGGGATTTACACTCCCTGCTATTGCTGGGGGGGACACACATTTCAGTCAGCACTCAGAAGCAGATATTTACTCTCAAATAGTCTTCCCTTTCTGCCTTTTGCCCTATGTCAATTATGCACTTTGCCATCTCTAAGAATGCCATCTCTGTGCCTGTTTTACAGAATGTTTGTTTTTTTAAAGAATAAGTTGTAAAAAAAATAAAATAAAATAAAAAGTTAAATAAACCAGCTGGGTTTCAAATCAAATCTGTTAAAACTATAAAATATCTATAAACTATGTTGAGAGTAAAAACTATATACACCTTACAAAAGAGGTACTACATTTAAGACTTATTCCCAAATATTGGAATAATTGTAATGGATTCCAGCTTGTATATTCAATACATATTTGGTGTCCAAATGCCCAACCATCCAGATATTTTGTTCTTGAATAAGCAAATTGGGAGGAAAGGGAAGATGAGAACAAGCACAGTTATCCAATATTTTAGGCTCCAAAAGATCCCTAAAGGTTAATAAACTGAATCACACATTGACATCACTGATTTTATAGCGGTGAACAAGTTTTGCATCATATGCAAGAGATACAATAAATGCAAACTATTTCCAAAGCAAAAATAATAATGTTCAGGGCGATGTTAGTAGATTCGATTTTTGTTCCCATCTCTCTTGCTTTAGTTTTTCCATAATCAGGGGAACAATTCACAGAAGCTCACCTGTCCGGGGCATAGATGCTGAAGAATTCTGCCACTGATGCTGTTTTTCTACTAACTGCCATAGCCAAAATGATTTCCTGATTGTTGCTAAATTAAATGGATCTATCAGACTTTAGACGCCTAAATTATAGATTGAGGCCAATCTAAACTCGATTTCCAGATGAACTCAGATTTGTGTTGTAGAGACGGATACGCTATATAAAGCTTCCTTCTAGAGTTATGGCGCCAAGAGGAGATAAAAGGAACCAAAATGTTTGATATGAAATACACAGAATACCCTCTTGACCCTCCCCCTTCAAAAAAGTAACAATTTGCTACCTTGCTCTTAATTTGGAGGCAGAAAATTTTAGCCACAACTTCACCTGCCTCTTCATCAAGCAGAAGAGCTTAACTGGGAGAATAAGGGCCCAACTCTCCAACAGATTTCAGCTTTCCCCATACTTCACTGTTCCCAAATTGTGCTCTTGGGGCAGAACTCACTTGTCGCCACTCGGTTGACTTCAATGGAGCTCTGACAGTTTACACCCTCTGAGAATCCGCCCCCTGCGTTTCCACATCCAGACTGACCTAAAAGAACTGCCCCAACATACAGTAATAGCAATGGCTCAGAAGAGAACACCAACAATGTAAATGAGGCAAATTCATTTGCTTTTTTAATCAAATTACACTTGGGATGAATTTGGCCCAGCGCTCAGATGATGCAGTTGGCACCCCAATTTTAGAAGAGAGTCATGAGAAATGGATTATAAAACATTACTGACCACCATGTTATAAAACAATAATTTCCCCCATTTTTGCTCTCTCCCTCCATTTAACATTTATCTTGCATATTGAAATAAGATGCTAAGTTTGCCATTTCCCCCCCTCCCCCATAAATTAATATAAATCTCTTCTTTGTGGTACGCATTCTACATGACATTCCATTTCAGCAAATCTCCAATCCTCGTTATGAGCAGACAGATGTATGCAGAGACTAGGGACAGGTGAACGGTAAATCCAGTTTGACAGACCTCTTCAGTGCAATTCACTGACTTCAACTGTTCCTGTTTTAATTAAGGCTTCACCAAAGAAATATGTATTACTTGTTTTACGCCGAAATCAGCACACTCCCTTCAAAGCAAATGGTCCTAGAGCATTACCATCAATTGTCTTCATGGATGAAGTAGTATCTCACTGGTGGCCCTGGCAAGTCTTCATCTCCATCTGTTTCTGGAGCAAACGACACTGTGAGATCCACGTATTTTTTATCAGCTGATGGTTTCACTAGCTTTTGCATCCTGCAAAGAGAGGAAGACGAGTTTTGTAAGAGCAGGAAAAAGAGCAAAGAGCTGGCTGGGCTGAGCTATCCTGCGTTATGGGAAGTTGTTTTATTTCCACAGCTCTACCAGGAGTGAAGTCCAACGCAGCAGAAGTTTGGTTAAAGACAGTGAAACTTCTGTTTATGCGATGTCCCAAAGTTGCTCTGTCTTGGTTGTGGAAGGTCATGTTTCAATTAGTGTATTTCTGCTTTTGCTCTCAGAGCAGCCAACCTCTGAGCTATTACGTTGCTTGTGATAAAAAGCAAAGAAACGTTTTTGTGCAGGGCTGGGAGACTGGAGGAAAACAACAATTCTTTCCCCCCCCATCCGCCAATAGGGCAGACAGATCCATGCAATGGCTGTTGCCCCGATCATATGGGCAGCAGTCATGGCCACA